GTTAAATGTAAAACTTAACACAATTTATGGTAATCATTTCCTTATGAATTAGTAAATTGACATTTCTAGAACATTTATGTTGCTTGTATTCAACAGCAGATGCCATACTCCACATAGCCTACACTTTAAATTGGATGATGTGATCTGATAGTGTGTAAAGGACCATGTGTGAAGTATTGTAGAAGCTTTGACATAGAAGCTCTATCTAAAAAATACAATTGGGAACATGTCACATAACTTCCCCACAAACTAAAGGTTCCTCTCCCAGTTGAAACCTCAGGTCCTCCGTTTTACAGATTTGGCAGCTTTTGTTACTTCACACAATGGCAGCAGCCTCAAGCTCCTCTGTTCTCCTCCACTACAGAGAGGAAGGAGACAGTAATGGCTGTGTCGTGTCTCTACATGAATAATCCACAAGATCAAATGAGACCAGGACACTTCTTACAATAGGCTTTTTAGGGTCACTCCCAGTGGAAATGGCCTTGGAGACATTGGGCTCTAATAACACCAGAGACATTGGGCTCTAATAACACCAGAGACATTGGGCTCTAATAACACCAGAGATGGTGTGAGGCGGGAGATCTCATTGAGGTGTGCCACAGGGGACGACATGTCGCGCTGCACATCTGAAGAGAAATGTGAAGGGTATACTGAAGCATGTGCATGCATGAGCCGGATGGCATACAAGTACTGGGGTTATACAGATTCCACCCATCTTGCCAAGACCTTCTGTGCACTAGTTCGTGATTTAGGCCTAGTACTGCAGTGGCAATAGCACAATCTAGTTATATAGTAGGGCTGACCCCATTTAGTCGACTGGACGATTGTTTGGCGATAGGCTGTTGGTCCACCGAGCAGTAGCAAGCCAAAAAATAAGAATAATTTTTAACAAACATGGTGTACAAGACACTTGTCTGATTCGTGCCTGTCTGAGTGGACTGATCTATTGTGGAGGCCGTAGGGATGGCACAGTCCATCAGTCTAAGACAGGTGCTCCTGAAATTGTATATGGTTATATTATGCAAGAACAATGGTGCAACACAAATACAAATTATATTATTTTATAACAAATGCGCTTTCTCCTGCGTTGCATAGCTGTCGCTGTCCGCGGTTCTGAAACACATCCGTGCGCTGTTGAATTGGCGCCTTTTCCTAGACCATGTTGCTATGTGCATAATAACAAAGTTAACCAGCATATTAGTGTTGAGAACAATGCGGCGGAGGCAGCAGCAGAGTTAGGAGACGAGACAACAGCCCTTGCCTTAATTGTCTAAGAAAAGTGAGAAAGGAAACCAACTTAATTAGGTCTATAATCAATAGCCTAATTTAAATGTGCCTGGCTTTCTAAATCATCCATATATATCTACAGAAATAAGACAGATCCTGCTTCTGTTGCCTGTTTGAGTGTTTGTTTAATAGCCTACTGATTCCGTGAGCACCAAGCCTCATGAAACAATTTCACAAATTCGGCTGTTTTTAATCTTTGCTATGATGTAATAAAGGTTTTACACTTTTGTTTTCATTATACCAGCCTCTCTGGTATTATTAATAATTTATAGTGTTGTTTACACTGTTCCAAATTGTCAGAAACATTATATTTATAATAATAACCCTCCTTTTTCCTTGATCTCCTTGTTATTATAACTATTATTATTGTTATGATCATCATTATAATAATAAGTAATGTCATTAGTAGGCTTAGTATAGCAAACTTGTATAACCACCATCGAGCTGTAAGCCTAAGAGCGCATCCTGTTTAGTCTTAATACCCTACCTTAGGCCTATATTTCAATACTTATTTGGCTACTGTATCGATCAATCATTTACTCGTTCCTGTCATCACACAGAGTCATTCATGATGTGAAATGCAATCAAGCATTTTCGTTTTTAAATAAAATAAAGCGACAATTGAATAATTAGCGTTAACAATAAATAGGCCTAAACTGTTCATTCACGAATCAATGCGACTGTTTTTAGTCTTTGCTGTAATAAAGGCTTTACAAAAAATTAAAAATAAATAAACATTACAGACTCTCTGGTACACTTAACTTATTTAGCGTTGTTTACATTGTTCCAAACGGTCAGAAAAATTATATTGTAATCGAACAGCACCTGTTTGGTACACATAATATGCACACAGCGCTTGTTTCATACCTTCTTTTTCTTGATTTCCAGTATTTTCCACAACTAGTCAAATTTATTCCACACATCTGACTTCCCAATTTACCTCCTGTGCAAGCAGTAAACATCCCCCCGTTGAGTTTTTGTCATGTCCTCTGCATCCATTTTGCTGTCACATGTGTTACGGTGTTCCGAGTTTGTTATAACCAATTTATTGATGTGATTATGATAGGCTATAGGTCAGGCCCTATTGGTCACGTGCATGCGACGTTTACATGTTTCACGTAAAGAGAGCAAGGGTTGAGGGAATAGGGAATGTTTTTCCTAAAAAAATGAGGGATTTCAGTAACAGAACTTTTCAGTCAGACATGGCTGTAATTATGTTGCAGCTTCAGCAACACGGACAGTGCGATACACAATGTTGATGTGTTGTGGTGGTTGCTGCAGCAGGGAGGAGGAGAGAGAGACAACAGGTGCTAGGCACACAGTCACTCGCTGTCTTTTTTTAAGAGTCTGAACCCGGCACAATGAAATCAATAGCGGTTGGACTCCCTCTAGTCGTTTGTGTGTCTTAATTATTTCATCAAACAGTTTGCTTAAAGCATCAGACAAGCTCAATGCATACAGTTGATTTGATGAAAACGCATAGGATGTGTCTATATGGAAAGATACACGATTTTAAAGTTTCGACCAATCGATCGGTCGAAACCACAGACGACTCTTGGTCGACCAATATTTTTTTTAGTCTGGGACAGCCCTACTATATAGAGAGGTATGGTATAGAGCACATACAGTTGAAGTCGGAAGTTTACAAACACTTAGGTTGGAGTCATTAAAACTCGTTTTTCAACCACTCCACAAATGTCTTGTTAACAAACTATAGTTTTGCCAAGTCGGTTAGGACATCTACGTTGTGCATGACACAAGTAATTTTTCCAACAATTGTTTACAGACAGATTATTTCACTTATAATTCACTTCATCACAATTCCAGTGGGTCAGAAGTTTGCATACACTAAGTTGACTGTGCCTTTAAACAGCTTGGAAAATTCCAGAAAATGATGTCATGGCTTTAGAAGCTTCTGATAGGCTAATTTACATAATTTGAGTCAATTGGAGGTGTACCTGTGGATGTATTTCAAGGCCTACCTTCAAACTCAGTGCCTCTTTGCTTGACATCATGGGAAAATCAAAAGAAATCAGAAAAAAATGGTGGACCTCCACAAGTCTGGTTCATCCTTGGGAGCAATTTCCAAATGCCTGAAGGTACCACGTTAATCTGTACAAACAATAGTACGCAAGTATAAACACCATGGGACCACGCAGCCATCATACCGCTCAAGAAGGAGACGCGTTCTGTCTCCTAGAGATTAACGTACTTTGGTGCGAAAAGTGCAAATCAATCCTAGAGCAACAGCAAAGGACCTTGTGAAGATGCTGGAGGAAACAGGTACAAAAGTATCTATATCCACAGTAAAACGAGTCCTATATCGACATAACCTGAAAGGCCGCTCAGCAAGGAAGAAGCCACTACTCCAAAACCGCCATAAAAAAGCCAGACTACGGTTTGCAACTGCACATGGGGACAAAGATCGTACTTTTTGGAGAAATGTCCTCTGGTCTGATGAAACAAAAATAGAACTGTTTGCCCATAATGACCATCGTTATGTTTTGAGGAAAAAGGGGGTTGCTTGCAAGCCGAAGAACACCATCCCAACCGTGAAGCATGGGTGTGGCAGCATCATGCTGTGGGGGTGCTTTGCTGCAGGAGGGACTGGTGCACTTCACAAAATAGATGGCATCATGAGGAAGGAAAATGATGTGGATGTATTGAAGCAACATCTCAAGACATCAGTCAGGAAGTTAAAGCTTGGTCGCAAATGGGTCTTCCAAATGGACAATGACCCCAAGCATACTTCCAAAGTTGTGGCAAAATGGCTTAAGGACAACAAAGTCAAGGTATTGGAGTGGCCATCACAAAGCCCTGACCTCAGTCCTATAGAACATTTGTGGGCAGAACTGAAAAAGCGTGTGCGAGCAAGGAGGCCTACAAACCTGACTCAGTTACACCAGCTCTGTCAGGAGGAATGGGCCAACATTCACCCAACTTATTGTGGGAAGCTTGTGGAAGGCTACCCGAAACGTTTGACCCAAAGTTGAACAATTTAAAGGCAATGCTACCAAATAATAATTGAGTGTATGTAAACTTCTGACCCACTGGGAATGTGATGAAAAAAATAAAAGCTGAAATAAATAATTCTCTCTACTATTATTCTGACATTTCACATTCTTAAAATAAAGTGGTGATCCTAACTGACCTAAGGCAGGGAATTTTTACTAGGATTATATGTCTGGAATTGTGAAAAACTGAGTTTAAATATATTTGTCTAAGGTGTATGTAAACTTCTGACTTCAACTGTAAATGGAAAACATAAATAATGCAAGCCAAGGATAGGAAAGTAGTAATAGCGAGGCAAACTTACTAACTTGGAAAGGAAATTGGTCTTGTAGCCTAAATCTAACCAACCTGTAAAAACAACATGCAATCTACTTCTATGTTGGATAGAGACAAATAAAGAAGTCCAGATAAACATGTGCGCTATGTTTCACACAGAGACAAGTAAAATGTGTGCAACCCCAGTCGCCTTCTCTAAAGTAGGACCACCCCTGGTCAGCCCTGCAGCAGGCCTGCAATCAGAACATACAGTACTGCCCGCACACTTCACAGACCACTTCACCCTAGTACACCCACACACTCCATACAACCATACAGCACACACTATATTACGCAAAGTAAGAGGGGGACTGATTCACTAAACCCAATTACCAGAGGTCATGAGTTAAGGATTGTAGAACCACTCATCTCTCTTTATATTATTGTCAATCCTTACGCTCATTGTTATCATGGGGCTGAGGAGAATATACAGAACAGAATGACCAAATCTCACAGACAGAACCAGAACAGTAGGAGAACTAGTTATTGGGATAACTAATGGAAAATGTCTCTATGGCGTGACATGATAGCTGCTTGGTGTTCTGTCATGAAGTCCCTTAATGATGTCGGTCCCATGCCAATAAACCGAGGGGGGGGGGGGGGTTCATAAGGGGTTGTGGATTCCAAAATAAAAGCATGGTCTCATAAACATAACACTCAGTTCTATATTATTCACCTGGTACTTCATCATGCCCACCAGACATTTATGTCTTCCAAGATAGTCTGTTTACTGTTTAACTTTCTGTGAGTCTATTTTATTTTATTATTTGTTAAACAAAATCTATTTCTCTGAGGAATTGTATTAGAATAAAATAATTGTCCCTTTTTTTGAGCATACAATATATCTCAGTATTTGTTTTCTCTATATACATACACACATACATACAGTGCATTCGGAAAGTATTGACTTTTTCCCACTTTGTTACATTACAGCCTTATTCTAAAATGGATTAAATAAATTGTTTTCCTCATCAATCTACACACAATAACCCATAATGACAAAGCGAAAACTGTGTTTTAGGAATTTTTGCAAATAAAAAACAGAAATGAATACCTTATTTACATATGTATTCAGACCCTTTGCTATGAGACTCGAAATTGAGCTCAGGTGCATCCTATTTCCATTGATCATCCTTGAGATGTTTCTACAACTTCATTGGAGTCCACCTGTAGATTGGACATGATTTGGAAAGGCATACACCTGTCTATATAAGGTCCCACAGTTGACAGTGCATGTCAGAGCAAAAACCAAGCCATGAGATCGAAGGAATTGTACGTAGAGCTCCGAGACAGGATTGTGTTGAGGCACAGATTTGGGGAAGCGTACCAAAAACATTCTAAAGCATTGAAGGTCCCCAAGAACACAGTGGCCTCCATCATTCTTAAATGGAAGAAGTTTGGAACCACCAAGACTTCCTAGAGCTGGCCACCTGGCCAAACTGAGCAATCGGGGAAGAAAGGCCTTGGTCAGAGAGGTGACCAAGAACCCGATGGTCACTCTGACAGAGCTCCAGAGTTCCTCTGTGGAGATGGGAGATCCTTCCAGAAGGACAATCATCTCTGCAGCACTCCACCAATCAGACGTTTATGGTAGAGTGGCCAGACGGAAGCCACTCCTCAGTAAAAGGCACATGACAGCCCGCTTGGAGTTTGCCAAAAGGCACCTAAAGGACTCTCAGACCATGAGAAACAAGATTCTCTGGTCTGATGAAACCAATATTGAACTCTTTGGCCTGAATGCCAAGCGTTACGTCTGGAGGAAACCTGACACCATCCCTACTGTGAAGCATTGTGGTGGCAGCATCATGCTGTGGGGATGTTTTTCAGCGGCAGGGACTGGGAGACTAGTCAGGATTGAGGGAAAGATGAACGGAGCAAAGTACAGAGAGATCCTTGATGAAAACCTGCTCTAGAGCGCTCAGGACCTCAAACAGGGGCGAAGGTTCACCTTCCAATAAGACAACGACACTAAGCACACAGCCAAGACATTTACATTTTAGTCATTTAGCAGACGATCTTATCCAGAGCGACTTACAGGAGCAATTAGGGTTAAGTGCCTTGCTCAAGGGCACATCGACAGATTTTTCACCTAGTCGGCTCAGGGATTAGAACCAGCGACCTTTTGGTTACTGGCACAACGCTCTTACCCACTAAGCTACCTGCCGCCCCAACGCAGGAGTGGCTTTGGGACAAGTCTCTGAATGTTCTTGAGTGGCCCAGCCAGAGCCCGGACTTGAACCCGATCTAACATCTCTGGAGAGACCTGAAAATAGCTGTACAGCAATGCTCCCCATCCAACCTGACAGAGCTTGAAAGGACCTGCAGAGAGGAATGGGAGAAACTCCCCAAATACATGTGTGCCAAGAAGACTCGAGGCGGTAATCGCTACCAAAGGTGCTTCAACGTAGTACTGAGTAAAGGGTTTGAATACTTAGGTAAATGTGATATTTTTTATTTTTTATACATTTGCAAAAATGTCAAACATAACATTTTTTAAATCCATTTTAGAATTAGGAACACCTTCTGACTTCACCTATAATATTATTCTACAGTTGAAGTCGGAGGTTTACATACACTTAGGTTGGAGTCATTAAAACTCGTTTTTCAACCACTCCACAAATTTCTTGTTAACAAACTATAGTTTTGGCAAGTCGGTTAGGACATCTACTTTGTGCATGACACAAGTAATTTTTCCAACAATTGTTTACAGACAGATTATTTCACTTATAATTCACTGTATCACAATTCCAGTGGGTCAGAAGTTTACATACACTAAGTTGACTGTGCCTTTAAACAGCTTGGAAAATTCCAGAAAATGATGTCATGGCTTTAGAAGCTTCTGATAGGCTAACTGACATCATTTGAGTCAATTAGAGGTGTACCTGTGATGTATTTCAAGGCCTACCTTCAAACTCAGTGCCTCTTTGCTTGACATCATAGGAAAATCAAAAGAAATCAGCCAAAACCTCAGAAAAAAATTTGTAGACCTCCACAAGTCTGGTTCATCCTTGGGAGCAATTTCCAAATGCCTGAAGGTACCACGTTCATCTGTACAAACAATAGTACGCAAGTATAAACACCATGGGACCACGCAGCCATCATAAAGCTCAGGAAGGAGACGCGTTCTGTCTCCTAGAGATGAACGTACTTCGGTGCGAAAGTGCAAATAAATCCCAGAGCAACAGCAAAGGACCTTGTGAAGATGCTGGAGGAAACAGGTACAAAAGTATCTATATCCACAGTAAAACGAGTCCTATATCGACATAACCTGAAAGGCCGCTCAGCAAGGAAGAAGCCACTACTCCAAAACCGCCATAAAAAAGCCAGACTACTGTTTGCAACTGCACATGGGGACAAAGATTGTACTTTTTGGAGAAATGTCCTCTGGTCTGATGAAACAAAAATTGAACTGTTTGGCCATAATGACCATCGTTATGTTTGGAGGAAAAAGGGGATACCTTGCAAGCCGAAGAACACCATCCCAACCGTGAAGCACGGGGGTGGCAGCATCATGCTGTGGGGGTGCTTTGCTGCAGGAGGGACTGGTGCACTTCACAAAATAGATGATATCATGAGGAAGGAAAATTATGTGGATATATTAAAGCAACATCTCAAGACATCCGTCATGAAGTTAAAGCTTGGTTGCAAATGGGTCTTCCAAATGGACAATGACCCCAAGCATACTTCCATAGTTGTGGCAAAATGGCTTAAGTACAACAAAATCAAGGTATTGGAGTGGCCATCACAAAGCCCTGACCTCAATTCTATAGAACATTTGAGGGCAGAAATGAAAAAGCGTGTGCGAGAAAGGAGGCCTACAAACCTGACTCAGTTACACCAGCTCTGTCAGGAGGAATGGGCCAAAATTCACCCAACTTATTGTGGGAAGCTTGTGGAAGGCTACCCGAAATGTTTGACTCAAGTTGAACAATTTAAAGGCAATGCTACCAAATAATAATTGAGTGTATGTAAACTTCTGACCCACTGGGAATGTGATGAAAGAAATAAAAGCTGAAATAAATAATTATCTATACTATTATTCTGACATTTCACATTCTTAAAATAAAGTGGTGATCCTAACTGACCTAGGACAGGGAATTTTTACTAGGATTAAATGTCAGGAATTGTGAAAAACTGAGTTTAAATGTATTTGGCTAAGGTGTATGTAAACTTCCGACTTCAACTGTATATATTATTTATTTTTGGTAGCATCTAAAAAGGCCCCAGTACCTGTTCTTAGCACTGACTGTCTTCAATTACTACAGGCCAGCCTACACAAATACTGCATGATGTATCGTAAAGCAGAGAAGCTTACTGGAAACACATTTGACAGTTGTTTATATTTCTCAGCACCTGATATACAACACTTTATATATGGCTATCAGCAGAGCTCAGATCTACACGATCAACACTAAACACGTTGGTGTAAGTAATCATGTGATTTTCCCATATAATAAACCATCTCTCACAGCAGTTTATATTACAGCAACAGCAAATCTTTTTTCCAAGGGAAACTTCCAAATGGCCAATTAGGACCTACTATACATGTAGCAAGGAGCACAATAAAGAATGCTATAATGACATAGGCCAAGGGGAATGGGGCTCCAACAAAGAGGCCTAGGCTGCATACTGTTATCAGTCTTTGGGAGAAAAGCCTTGCGGTCTAGCCTATAACACAGTTATTCTGCTTTCTAAAGGGCCAACCTCAGAACATCTCTCTAATCTCAGCCTGGTTTTAATCTCAGTCTGGTCCGTGGAGGGGGAGGACGGAGGCTTGCAGGATTTTTCTATAACTCCTACACAAGTGTACGTTGTCATCCATTCTCAGCCGGGCCTAAAGAAACCATCATATTTCCCGCCTACTCCCATCAACGGCCGGAAAAAGCTATCCAGTCCCACTGCCTTCCAATCGCTCACACAACCACGTCATCCCAACACACACACCATCATCTCATCAGACATCCCACTCATTGCTCACTGACATCCATGCAGGTAATTACTCCATTGTAGGCAAATGACAATGCACTGCAGACATCTTAGATTGCATTGTTTAAGTATGTATGACTGATCGGACTGTCTGACCAATGGACCTTGACAATGGAATTCATCGTTTTCTTGTCAGGGCTGGGGGCTTTAATGCTGGTGCTCTCCAAAGACATGCTGTAAGACAGGCCATATCAAACTAGCACAACAGCTAAATGCATGAACGGTCATTTAACCAAAGCACGCCGACCATTATCTTCTAATATACTATGTTAAATATGCATTTCATTCATAAAGATGTTCTATACTGCTTACATTTACTGTACCAAAGCTTTTATTCAGACTTATGTTCTACTATTCAGAGAAGGCATTACTCCATAACACAGGGCCTTGGTAGATATCCACTCAGAGACATTTGAGATCCCTTTTTCCCTGTGAGCTAGTGTGATAATGGCATTGTGAGAACTACAAATGCACAGTTTAATTTAATGCGTTATTCCTTTCGATTTTGGTATCATCGTTAGAACCCTCCTCCACCTGCAGAGAAGGAATAGCCCCCAGTAAATATGACCTGCAGAGAAGGAATAGCCCCCAGTAAATATGACCTGCAGAGAAGGAATAGCCCCCAGTAAATATGACCTGCAGAGAAGGAATAGCCCCCAGTAAATATGACCTGCGGAGAAGGAATAGCCCCCAGTAAATATGGCCTGCAGAGAAGGAATAGCCCCCAGTAAATATGGCCTGCAGAGAAGGAATAGCCCCCAGTAAATAGCCACCCCCCAATTCTAATGAATGAATAAATGGATTGAGCGTAATAAACATATCCCTCCCTCGCTTCTCCGTGGATTTAAGACTTCTAATGAGGGGCAGAGTATTCCTAGGATAATATGAAGTTACTAGTATGAAGGATAATATGAAGTTACCTCCATAAAGTCCTATAGGAACAGCTTATGTCAGGCTGGGAATTATGTGATGTGAACACCTTTAAACTCAAATTACATACAGGTTACATGCCATGTAGTAATTCTTTTTTGGGATTAAAAAACTAAACTGAGGTCTACAAAAATCTCCCTACCGCGAGTGCTTTGGACAGTCTTGTGGTGGTGACAATGTCCTGGTGAGGGATGTAGACATAACATCCCTTCAGGTACACCTTCCTGGTTCCCACCAGATCCAATGCATCTTGGAATGGGACCTTGAAAAAAATAAACAGGAAAGGGGGTATGAGGTTATACATTCAACATAACTTGCTCATCCAGATATTTTGCCTCCCAATAGAATATTTGTTATCTTTACACAGGGATGCACTTGTATGTTCTCTAATAGAATATTGTCATGTTTGTAGAAAATAATACAACAAATTTATAACTCACTTTGTAGAAGTCTTGGTCCTCAACCGTGATCCCGCTGACAGCAAAACTTGAGTTAACGAGTTTGTCCATCAGGTTTTTCTTCTCCTCAACACTCATCTAGACATTAGGAAAAAGGTGGTGGGCATTCAGTGACAGAAAGAAGCATAGTGACACTTGATTGTATAGCTAACAATGTAATGTTGTTGCATTCTCTGGAGTGAGATGAAGACTGTACAGTACACTTCCCCGTCAATAGTGTCCTCTTAGGCCTAAACAAATGATAGACAATGTGTCCCCGGTCTGCCGATGACCTATCTGACTGGTATGTGTCTAAATCAATAAAGTAAGGTGTAAACACATGGTAAGGTGAGTGAGTGTGGAGAGCTGGGTCGTATTCATTAGTATACATTAGTCCCTCCCGGTTTCAGTCCGTTTTGGCCATTGTGGGATATCTTACACTGAAGACCCAGAATGCATCAGAGCCTTTATAATCACAGAGCATCAGGCATAAACACTAAGAGGTAAACACAGCTAACCTTAAGGGCAGACGGAGTTAGAACCTTGTCGCCCATCTCCAAGACATAACCATTAACAAAGAACGGCTGCCAGCTATGTAGAACCTGCGGCCATAACAAACACTTTTTCACCTGTCACTCAAATAATTATATATAATTATATATAAAATGTTTTACCTATCTCCTTCTGGGCATGCAGGTGATGAACACCTTTTGCTTGCCATTCACAGTGCAAAAATCTATTTTAGTTTACCACTAACCGCCAAGAGTAATTGGGGTGGGTGGGGGTCACCTCCCTCGTTGCCATACTGCATTACTAAAAAACAGTGTTCGCTCAATGGTCATGTCAAATAGAATGAAAAGGAGAATGTTTTATACACTACTGTAAATTCATCCCATTTACTTCTTAAAGTTCAATTGATTCATCTTTTACAAGTTTAAATGTATTGCAATTAGCTGCAACACATCTCATGAAATGCACCTTGAAGTAAAATAATGAGATTCAAATTAAAATAGAACCATTGCAAAAACAACTCTCCCCACAGCAGACATTTTAAGACATTTATACTATTGCGAGCTGACAGCACCATCTGCTGGCAGGTCTGAAACAATACCAGAAATACAGTATGTCCAAACAGCATCAGGACCAGGGGTGTATTCAAATCAAACGTTATTTGTCACATGCGCCGAATACAACAGGTGTAGACCTTACAGTGAAATGCTTACTTACAAGCCCTTAACCAACAATGTTGTTTTAAGAAAGAATACCAAAAATATATATATATATATAATAACAAAAAAATACAATATAAAATAATACAAAATAAAAGTAACAATTAATTAAAGAGCAGCAGTAAAATAACAGTAGCGAGGCTATATACGGGGGATACCGGTACCGAGTCAATGTGCGGGGGCACCGTTTAGTCGAGGTAATTGGGGTAGTATGTACATGTAGGTAGAGTTATTAAAGTGACTATGCATAGATAATAAACAGAGAGTAGCAGCAGCGTAAAAGAGGGGTGGGGGCAATGCAAATAGTCTGGGTAGCCATTTGATTAGATGTTCAGGAGTCTTATGGCTTGGGGGCAGAAGCTGTTTAGAAGCCTCTTGGACCTAGACTTGGCGCTCCGGTACCGCTTGCCGTGCGGTAGCAGAGAGAACAGTCTATGTGTGATGAGAACTGAGCATACGAAGAGGCAGGGCGCAGACGCAGGAATCAACAATGTAAAGGTTTACTTAACACTGAGCAAGAGAACAACAACACAATAACAATCACACACAACACAACACTGAACAGTCCAGGGCTATATAGGGGTAGTGATGAGATGATGAGGTGCAGGTGCGCTGGAGGTGATTAGGGTGCGTTGGGTTTCCATTCCGGTGTTGCCGAGGAGGTGCGTTCAGACCGTTGGCTCAGTAGACAGGCGAATCAGAGCGGCGGAGGGGAGCAACGGGAGGAGACGTGACAGTACCTCCCCCGGACACGCGACTCCCAGTCCACCAGGTAACGGAGCCGTCCCCCACGGAACCTGGAGTCCAGCAGGTCCCTCACCGCATATGCCGGACTCCCGTCAATGTCCAGGGGCGGAAGGGGCGTACCCCGGGGGACGGCATCCGCCAGAAGACCAGGAACCAGCGGCCTGAGGAGAGACACATGAAAAGTGGGTGAGAAACGGTAGTGAGGGGGAAGGAGCAGCCGGTACGATAACTCATTTATCCGCCGGAGGACCTTAAACGGCCCCACAAACCGGGGGCTCAGTTTCTTGCAGGGCAGGCGGAGAGGGAGGTTTTTTGTGGACAGCCAGACACAATCACCAGGCTGGAATATGGGGGCCTCACTGCGGTAGCGGTCGGCTTGGTCCACTGCCGACGAATGGCCCTCTGGAGATGGACATGGTTGCGTCTCAGACCTGTCCGGCCCTTCAGAACCACTCGTCGACAGCGGGCGCATCGGTCTGGTTGGGTGTCCAAAGGGCCAGGGCCGGCTGGTACCCCAGGACGCACTGGAAGGGAATGAGCCCCGTGGAGGAGTGAACGAAGGAGTTCTGGGCATATTCTGCCCAGGGTAGAAACCTCGCCCACTCACCCTGCGGGTCCTGACAGTGGCAACGAAGAAACCTCCCCAGCTCCTGGTTCATGCGCTCCACCTGCCCATTTGACTGAGGCCTATACCCGGAAGTGAGGCTGGCCGTGGCCCCGATCTTCTCCAGGAAAGCCTTCCACACTCGGGAGGTGAATTGGGGGCCACGGTCCGAGACGATGTCCTCCGGGAATGCCGGAAGACCTGTTGGAACAGGACCTCAGCGACCTGGAGAGCAGAAGGAAGACCAGTTAGTGGCAAAAAACTGCATGATTTGGAGAACCAATCTACGACCACCAGGACTGTGGTGAAGCCGTCCGAACGTGGGAGGTCGGTGACAAAGTCTACGGACAGGGGTGACCAAGGTCGCTGAGGCACTGGGAGAGGAACTAGTTTGCCTGCCAGGGCGTTCCGAAGTGTCTTTGTTTGGGCACATATAGAACAGGAGTTGATATAGCGGGATACATCAGTAGCCAAGGTGGGCCATACCGGACGGAGTGCCCTGCCGTAAGGGTGGTGTGCGCCCAGATCAGCAGGCGGTCACGGACCCTGGTGGGTACATACACGCGCCCCAGAGCGAGGACCACCGCCAACAACTCCCTGTCTCCAACTCCATAGTTCCTCTCTGCGGGGGTAAGCTTTTTAGAGAAAAAGGCACAGGGATACATTTTCTCTGGCTTACCTTGCCGCTGGGAGAGGACCCCACCCACGCCCTCCTCAGATGCGTCCACCTCCAGGATGAAAGGACGAGCTGGATCTGGATGTTTCAGGAGGGGTGCTGTGGTGAACCGCTCCTTCAGCCTCTTGAAGGCAGCGTCAGCCTCAGGGTTCCAAGCCAGCTTCTGAGGCTCCCTTAAGGAGAGAGGTGAGCGAGGCGGCTATGGAGCTGAAGGACCTGATGAAACGCCTGTAGAAATTTGCGAAGCCAAGGAAGCTCTGTAGGCCCTTGATGGTGGTGGGGACTGGCCATGACCTGACGGCGTCAGTCTTCGCTCTTTCCATGAACACCCTCTGAGGACTGATCCTGTATCCCAGGAAGGAGATGGCCTGTTGGTGGAATTCTCATTTCTCCCCCTTCACCATCAGGCTGTGTTCCCGGAGGCGGAGTTGGACCGCTCTGTTGTCCCTGACGTGCTCCTCGAACGTAGCCGAGTAGATCAGGAAATCTTCAATGTACACCACCACCTGTCTACTCAGCATGTCTCGGAACATGTCATTGACGAAGGACTGGAACACGGAAGGTGCGTTGGCGAGGCCGTAGGGCATGACGCAGTATTCATAGTGGCCTGAGGTTGTGCTGAATGCTGTCTTCCACTCGTCTCCTTCCCGGATTCGAATCAGGTTGTAGGCACTCCTCAGGTCCAACTTGGTAAAGTACCGGGCCCCTCGCAGCTGCTCGATGGCCGACGGAACCAGAGGGAGGGGGTACCGGTACTTGGTGGTGACTGCGTTCAGCCCCCGGTAGTCAATGCATGGTCTCAGTCCTCCGTCTTTTTTGGCCACAAAGAAGAAGCTGGCGGAGGCAGGAGAGGTAGAGCGTCTGATGAACCCCTGTTTCAGGGTCTCCGCCACATACTTCTCCATGGCCTCAGTCTCTGCTATGGAGAGGGAGTAAATGCAACTCTTCGGGGGGTGTTGTCCCTCCAGCAGGTCAATGGCACAGTCCGACGGCCTGTGAGGAGGGAGACACTTAGCCTTGAAGGCAGAGAAGACATCGGAGAGATCTGCGTACTCACGTGGAATGTTGGGCTGGGGGGCGGACTCCGAACTCTCCACTGACGTGGAACAACAAACCACCGGCAGGCAAGTCCTCCGGCATGAGGGGGACCAGGCTGTGATCCTCTTGTTGATCCAATTGATGGTGGGGTTGTAAAGTCTGAGCCAGGGTAATCCCAAGACGATCCGGTGAAGGGGTGACGTGACAATGTGGAAGGACAGCTCCTCGTGGTGCTCCGGTAGTGTGGGAATGGTGATGGTGATGGGGAGAGTGACGTGCATAATGGTGCCTGATCCAAGTGGTTTATTGTCCAGCGAGGTGACGTGTAGCGGAGAAGGCAGTGGCACAGTGGGCAACCCCCATTCAGAGACCAGCTCCCTATCGATAAGGTTCCCCGCTGATCCGGAATCTATCATGGCCGTAGAAAGCGAAGAGAAGGAAGAACCATTCACCGTTAGGGGAACTAAAAACAATGGTTTGGTGACAGGTGATGACGGAACACTCACGGAGCGGCGACGGGAGTCATACCACCTAGATAGGGAGCCGCTAGGGGATCTGTGGTCTGTGGTGGTGTAGGGACTGCTGCCCACCTCCATGGGTGAGGACTCGGAGGCAGGGCGGCTTCCATGGCTCAGATGGGGTGAGCGTCGACGCTCCGGGAGGTTTTGGGAACGTCATCGGTCTCTCAACATGTCGTCAAGACGAATGGAAGTGGCGATGAGGGTATCAAGGTCGATCTTGTCGTCCCGACATGCGAGTTCCGTCGTGATGTCCTCTCGTAAGCCTCTCCTGAAGGCTGTGCGCA